TATCCTCTAAATTCCCTGCCAGTGTTCTAATCKAACGCCTTTATTTGCTGTGATTTCRAAATGTTATTTTAAGTTCAAGAGCCACTAACAATCTTTCATCAGGAGATGTACTGTTTGAATGTTATCTGCTGCAGGGAATACTGAATGGAAATGGTTTTCAGAGCACCTTTTCACAGCCCCGTTAGTATCAGGCCCRGTTGTTTTCATATGACAGATTCCATAAAACCATATTCATGTCCAGGCACACCAAATTCACAAGAGTGCTATTAACAWCCCTTGGACTTTTGTTTCAAAAGATATTAATCTGCAAGTTTTATTTTAATCACAAATTGTGTATACTGGCATGTGCTAATAGAAGATGCTAGAAATAGCAGAGTATCATTTCACAGAAAGCAGGGAACATGGATTCGATCCAAAGATGTCTCTACCTCATTTAGTGGCTGAAATGACTTAACTCCATGAAAAACAAAAYTGAAATACATAATATATTCCCTGAAGGAACTGTAATGAGCTTTACAATTAGCATTGAAATAAATTTCAYCATGAAACAAACATCTTTATAGCAAATAGTATTCAGGTAAGAAACAAAATATTAGGAGACTTGGCCAAAGGCTGAAGTATCCACCTGCCCTTGGACAGGACACCTGACACAGCCCAAGGGCCAGCGAGGACAGGCAGTGTGTCTGGTACCTTTTCCTGGACCCAATCCCAAACCCACAGRACTCCACACTTGGACAACTGCCCTTGAAACAAACTGTTCCTTGAGTTACAGACATTAAGACATTAAGACATTACAGAGATTATCTCCATTAAAGTTCATTATACAATGCATTTCAAAACTAACACATTTTCAAGCATTGTATCTTTCTATCCTGTATGAAGCCAAATTTTAATCTGWACTACTGATACCTGCTTCTCAACAGACTGACTTGCTCTTGAGGCTATGGCTGTGGATCACAACCAGCTTCTTTGAATTAGGTTCTCAAGACACAACACGCAAAAAAAAAGCACCTTCCAATAATCACTTCAAATTTGTATTAGTTGGCTTTCAATTTTGCCATTATCTCAAATCCCAGTCCCAAAGATGAAGATTTATCCTCCAAGCCACATGTTTTCAGCACAAGTGTTGTAACATACTGGTCCCACTGAAGGTATCRTGGTCCTACTTAATTCAGTGGCAAGGTTCCCGAGTCAGTGCTGAGAACTGTCCAGCTGATGATTACCAGTGGGAAAAGAAGTATGTCTTTGTCTCTTTGCCTTGAGCATGTGACAGAAGTGCTTTGCCAATGGAAAGGTCTGTCCAAGGTCAGCARTTCTGTTACCAAAAGGTTCTGTTACACGTGAGCAGGAAGAAAATACTGCTGAAAACTACTTGAGAAGCAAGTCATTCTGCCATAGCTCAGGGCTGAACACCCTACAGCCTTGTCTACACTTTTATAGAGCTGTAATACATAGCTTTTGCTTTTAACTGTAAAAAACCACTAGAGTAAATATACAGACTGATGAATGCATCATTAATAGTTATGAATAGCTATTATATAGCACTCCCAAACTGGACTGCTTTCTTTCCCAACAAACACACACTAGAAAAGCAGCATGAGATGTTTCCTGGGGAATTTCAGATACACCTTATGACTCTATTAGAGTTAGTCCATATTGGCTCTAGGAAACACTAGTTAATGTTGCAGCCCATTCTCAGTTYAGCTGCTAAAATACTTTCCTTTATCAGATGGACACTCTTCCTACAGTACAGATCTACAAGAAATGGAAAGCCTAAAAGGAATTGGGCATGGAGAGAAGAAAATACTGTATTTGTGCTGTATAAAACTCAATTCATTCCAAACTAGTATTTTGTGATAAATTAATTACAAAGTTCCATGGACAACCAGCTGAACAGCCCAGCTCCTTTAATCTGCATATCCTGAGTACCCAGATAACATTCCAGAAACACTTKAAAGCTTTACATACCACTGCCATGTTTTCTCTTTTTAACAAAAGTTTATTGTTTTCAAGTAGCAAGAACTTAAAAATTTGATTCTGGAACCACTCCAGCTTGTGTGCAAAACCCAAAAATTCMGTCCTCAAAATGAGCAAACCTCAGTAAGCTGAATCATATTCAGCAGAATCATYAGAAGTGTGCTTTTTATGAGGGTTACAGGCTTTACAAAAATGAGCAAGACTACTACAAAATGGTTCACAAAAGCAGTATGGAGAAGCTTTCAGATGTTTGTGTAACTTTCAGTTGAGTTCGAAACTTATATTCTTGCCTGCTTTTTCCAGCTCCTTCTGATTTTAAAGAAATATCTCCTTGTGAAAACTTTCCTGATTGCTCACTTGCTTAGTACTTTTGACMAAAATGTGGAGCTTGGAATGAAACCACATGGAACTCAAAACAATCTTCTAAATAGACAAAAACAGAGTAACTGATTCCTAGGAATATCTGCTGTCATCTCCTTAAGAAAAACCAATCTTAGTGATCTTAAGTTGACTTCCAATTTTGCATTGAAGAAACTTAAAATGTGCAAAGGAAAACCAAAAGCAATCAACTCACACTCCTTGAAAAAAATGGAGTATTGCTTAAAMGCAGCTCTGATGGCTCCAACTGGATTATGACAGAACAAGGTATTGAAAATTCAGTTTCGCAAACGACTCAACTACATCCTTAAAGGAATGGCTACTGGGTCATTTTTTTGGTTGCTGCTGCAGCATAAGGATATTTTCAGTATTTTTTATTGTTTTTAAAGTTTGAAACTTCTTATTATCATAAACATAGAGAAAACAGTAAATGCCAGATCGGAGTTTTCAAGCTTCCCTGCACTACCAGTGTTATGTGCACTATAAAAACATTTAAATTCTGAATGCTATTTTATCAGTGAGAAATTTGTGACCACCAATATGCCAAAAAAACMCCTTATAATTACCATTTCACTTGTCCAATAAATTGTTTGATAAATATTTCTTTTAGTTTTAGCTTTCTGATCTGCTTCAACATGTTCATTTCTGTCCTGGTGTAACTCACCTGCCTCAATAAACCAAGTTCACTGTGTAACAGTGTAAGCAGAGCAGCTGGAGACCTTCTAGGCTGGAATTACACCCTCAAGAATTCCTAACATGGGAGGGAGCTGGCAAATTTTGCAGACTAAATCCATACCAGCAGTTTAAAATAAAACATATGAAATGGATAAAACCAAAAAAGAAAGAAAGAAAAGATGATAGCATGAACCAAGAGCTCAGGGGATAAGGAGTCAAGGAGTAGCATAGGAAAGAAAAACTCTCCCACTTTCCCATACATRCCAACAGCCTGGTTATTTTTAATCAAAAATGTTACTCTCTTTGTGTCCTGCCCACTGCAGAAATGTTCAAGTGGCTCAGGACATTTTAATATAGTTAAGGGCATTTTTCTGCCAGCTGTTCTCAGATGCAGGCACATAAATCTGACAGAAAAATTGCATTCAACTTCATGATTTTATATACTAGTAATGTGACTACTTTCACTGTACTGCCAAGTAAGCTACATTCTCACCCATTTTCTACCAAATGTACAAATATTCTTGTATTTCTGTAAGGAAATTCTTTAGATAGAATTATTGGTTCAGTTCATCATCAATTATGTTAGTAGTGAYGGATGCTATACAAACTGTTCACATGAAAAGATGAATGGTTATAGAATGGATATATTATGTAKGAAAAACTCATTTGGATGAAACCAGGACAAATTAGAACTGATAAGACCACCCAGACAAGAGGTCCAAAATATTTGGCTTTCTTGGGCTGTGGGTAGCTTTTATTATTTCTTCAATTTTGAGGTAACTTCTTGGTAAAATGATGGAACTCACWTTTACAGTTCAGACTGCAGCCCATAATAAACTCCCATCCACAGGCAATGTTTCTGTAGAACTCATTCCAGCTCCAGCAGGAATTAGGGGGAAGAAAGCAGAAAAGAGGGTAGAAGCAGTTCCATAATGAGCACTTTTCTCTCTTGTAGCTGAGCAGCAGCTGAGATGCTTTGCCCACCAAAAGGGAGACAAAGCAGCTGTCCAAMAAGGACTGGGATTTGGAACCTTCAGCACAGCCAGACAGTTCTAGCAAAAACCACACCAGGCTGGCATGGAAGGCCTCAGGTGGCTCCAGTCTGACCATCTGCTATGGCCATTTTTAAGACCGATGGAAGGATGATCTAAGAGATGAAGAGAAATTGAAGGGTGAGGGGCAAGTTTTATAAATCATAACTAATTCTTCTCTCTCCAGTCCACTCATCAGAATTGCCTCCAAAACATGCACAAATGTAGACAAAATAAGGGYTTTATAACCTAGGAATGTGAAAGGTTAAAACAAGGACTGCCACAGTTCATAAATGCACACAAGACTCATGTAGATCTGGTATAAATTCCACATAATTCCACAATCTCCAATTTGCAACCCACTATATATATCTAGAAGTACACCGTAAGATGTTACGTTACTMTAAATATTCCATGGTTTTGAATTAAGAACCTGCTTCAGAATAAACAATTGTACAAATAACCTTGGATTCTGTGAATACCTCCTCAAAATCATATTACCTCACTAAAATTTTTATATACTTGCACTTTGAAAGAACTGAAACTTTTTGGCAATCAGAAGATGCTCTTATCTTCTCCTCAAGTAGTCTTTTATATAAACAAGCATCTGCTTGGCTGGATTCTTGACTGATCAGAGAAGGTTAATGATGTGGGAAAGGAAAACGTCACAGTGGAACCAGGTAATAAGAGACACTAAAGCTAAGTCAGACAGACAGGGAAATGGACTGTAACAGGTCCAAGGTGTTTGTCATGTAAGATCAACCCAGAATTACAAACAGCCAGTTAGTTCTGAACAAAACACGTGTTTAATGATTTTTTCTCTTTCCCCTCTTCTTCTTGAAATAGATTCCACGCTGCTCAGAAGACCTTTCCTGGCACAGTCTCCACCCAGTAGCACCAGCACACAAAGCATTCTTCATTCACTGAGATGCAACTTACCCAAATAGTTGTTGCTCTTTGACATCTCAGTAATGTTGATTTTAGTAGCTCCTTCGGGAATTTCCACTATCTTGTGGTAGCCAAGATTTGTTAGCGTGTGTTTGAAAACTCCAGACACAACCTTGCAAGCAGTGTTGTCCCCTCCACATATTCCACACTTGTCAATCACCTTGTCAGAACCCAGATAGTCGTCACAGCCAATGTTCTGCAAAATAAAGTAAGATTTCTTTTTCCAAGATCTTACAACTGCAGACTTCRGACATAACAATATGACTTTCAGAGAATAATCAGTTCTGAAAGGATTTTGTGAATCAGCATTTCAGCAATGTCATCCATTGTTCTTCTATATGGAAAAAGGCAATAAAACCCAAAGCATTCACARACTTGATGTTTTCAAGTTAGCCAACAGATTTTTACATCCTGCTACCCAAACCCAAGAACACACCTCGAGCAGCAATGAATTGATCATGCTGACTGCACACTCCTTAGCTGAAGGAAAGAATCTCTGAACAACATAGTCCACAGCTGCTGCTCAGAAATGAGGTGGAGTGCTATGATTTTGTTATGATTCAAAATAGGCTTTTTACAAAAGCAGAACTACTTCATCTAAAAAGTCCTAATGTCCTCTAAAATTGAGCACTCAGCCAATTCCCACCAGAAAAGTTACCTAAGAAATCTTTATAATACTGCATCTAGACAGTTGTAGAATAAATSCACCTCTTCATCGAGTAGAAAATGTTCAACCCACTCAGTCACACACACTTGGACACGATAGTTTAAAACAAAGTAATTTCCTAAAATCATAGAATGGTTTGGGTTGGAGGGGGACTTTGAAGATGATCTTGTTCCAGCACCTCTGCCAGGGCAGGGCCATCTTCCACTAGACCAGGTTGCTCCAAGCCCCATCCAACCTGACCTTGATTTGTACAATCCAGAAAACAGCTTCCCTACAGCTGAGGTGCTGTAGGAATGGAATCCTGGGTAGCCAGGGATATAACTGCATTTTTGCAAAATCAACACTGCTCTCCATTTTCTGTAACAGTTTAAAAAACAATTTTTCTGAGATAAATTAGCTTCTGTTGTGTGACAACACAGAAAACACTTGAGCAGCAAGCCAAGGAAGAGATTTGATGTCCTGAAATTTTGATACTGGTTATGGCCTAAGTATAGCCTGGAGAYAAGTAGGAATTTGTGACTGGCTGACAGCTAAACAGCTCACAGACAAACACACAGGGTTTACTTCTGGAGTACAGGCTCGAATTTCAGTTGGCTAGTGAGAGAGCTCCAGATCCCCAAGAGACAGCTTTAAGATAATCAGCAGGTATTTAATATACCTTGAATCTTAGGACAGTATCTTTCAGCTATGAACAAACAGAAAATCAGCTGCATATAATTATAAACTCTGTATTCCTCAGAATAAAATTTGGTCTTATTTGTGAAAAGGATAGAAATGCCCAACTCAAGGCTTGCTGTTACAGACATCATTGTACTTACACACTGGAGACAAGACATTCTCCAAAACCCTTTAAAAACATGGCATAGCTGATCTACCCAGTGCCAGGATGTTCGACAAAGAAACCCCTGCAATGGGGGATGTTCGACAAAGAAACACCCTCCAAAAATCACATGGGCTATTTCATGACATTGCATGAACTATTTTATCAAGCCACTCTCACACAAGGACATTTGGGGTTACAACATAAAGAGCTTGTTAGAATACCAGACATCTGGGCTTTCACTCCTAAGGTATTYCATTGATAATCTTACTCAGGAGAAAGATCTGACAGTAATCAACAAAGGAATTCCAGCAAGAACTACAAAGATCATGAAGTAGTAGGACTTCACAGTAAGACAAGCAGAGTTTGCCTTTATTCACTGCCATTCAAGCMAGCAGTAGAGTGTTCTTTGACTTAAGCACATCAATAGCAATGYTGGAAAATCAATCAAAATCTCCCAGTCCTCAAAGAAAATGTAACTAATTTCTGTCACAGATTTTGAAATTGAATTTTATTATTCTACTTCACCATTGTGTCCTATAATGAGATACAAGAATAATGATGTCCACAAGGTGGCACTTACAATCCTTGTGAAATCAAAATGTCTTTGCAAAACAACCAAAACCCCTTAATTTTTTACACCTAAACACAAAGTTTGTACTGCACTTCTATTCAAATTAGCCTTCACAACTGCTRCTTTGTAACCAATAATACATTCTTWAAAAGTATCAGTCAAGACAAAGATTTATTTGTTTTGGAATGWAATAAAATGTTCTACTAAACTGAAATAAAAAAGAAACTCTCAAACTGTTTTTTCTTGCATCATATGGTGACCAGGTGGACTTTATTTATCAATAATAAATAAATATTTTAATCCAAATCATGATGTCCCTCCTTCAAGGAAATCCTCATTGACTTCAAAGTTGACATCAACTGGAGATTTGTCAAGTCACAGAAGTTGGCCTCTTTATAGATTTGACAGGGCAGAATTATACCAATTCCATGGTTTTCACAATGGAAAATATACAAATAAGTTTTAAAAACTTTTGGATTTAAGTGTCTCAAGCAGAAGTATGTATTTTTTTTTCCATTCCCATGAATTTTTGTRCATTTAAATCACTCTCACTGAGTCTGTGGAAATGAGAAAGATCAAGTTAGGAAACACCTGAGAAAATTTTATATACACAGATTTTCAGGACCAGATGAGGTCATGGTGCTTGGAGGTGATGCCTAAACTGCAACTGCCACATCCGTCTTCATTAAGGGCAAGGAGGAGCAGAGGCTCAGTTACAGGTGGGTCACCAWAACAGCCCTCAGAAAGGCTGCAGAGTCAATCCTTCTGGAAATCATTTCCAAATGCATGAAGGACAGTAAAAAACCAAAAACACAAACAAAACAAAACAAACAAAAAAAAAAACCCAAGAAAAATAACCCCTGGGATCAAGCATCATGGACACACCAAGGTCAAGTTGTGCCTGAACAAGCTACTGTCTTCTGTGATTCATGACAAACTCAGCACACGAGTGGAGGGGAAGGGATGCTCTGTGCTTTGACTTCAAGGACGCCTTCAGAGTCTCCCACAGCACTCCTAAAGGCCCACTGCAGAAATTCAGACTGAGAAAGTTGACAATGACATGAGCAGGCAACTCACAGACATGCTGCTCATTTAAATCCTTYCCCTCCAGGCAGGAGGTACATCAGATTCGGAATAAGAAAACACATAATGCTTTGGCATCTGAAAGCTCTGGCTCCTCATCTTTCAGAATTATAGTTTGCATTTGTGAACTTAGAGTCCTTTCCCAGACAGTTTCTGATATTTTCACACCAACTTTTGTTTCTTGCCTTTGATAAATCTCTCTCCTCTCCACTAGGAAGGACACTAATTTTTCCGGGATTAATTCCTCCAAAGTCTGCCTAGATATTGGCTGGATGGCTCTCTCCTCAATGTACAAAGAAGTTGAGGATAATCCTTTTCTCTGGCCACTGTTAAAACCTTTGAACTTCATGTATGATCTTATAGATTTACCTTGTACAATTCTATAAACATAATTCCTTCCATTTGTCTCTGTCTGTGAAGGGCATTACATGAGACACCAATGCAGATGTTATGGCTGCTGGAGGGTAACAGCCAGCATGTGCCATTTTAATAGAACCAGCCATTTTAATAGAAATAGAAAAAAACCCCACCATTTTAATAAAAATGCCAGCACACAGCCAGCATTTGAAGCATTTATCGTTCGAGGCACTCCAAGTACAGACATCAGGGCAGGGCTTGGTGCTGCATGTGCTTCAGTGGAAACCAAATGAACAGGGGGTTCAGCAGGGAGGAACCACAGCTGCACTTCAGCAAAGGAACCTTCAGAAAACCTCCAAAGGCACAGCACAACACAGTCAGCAGAGCCTGCTTGTCTCATTCCATTGTCTCACACTGCTTCAAGGTTGCAGCCCGACCCTCATTTGCTTTATGAATCAAAGGAGCAATGTTGAGAATTTACATTCAACCACAGGATAACAAACAACATTCTAATGGCTCTCACTTGATTTGTGGTTAGCTATAACCATAATTTTTACCCAAACATTTGATCCTGCTTTGGCTTTCAAATATTTCCTGCTGTCCACAGACCTAACGCTTACAAATCTTTGATGCTATTTACAGCCCCTCACTATTAGATTGTGGTCACATCCAGATGTGGTCCACTTAATTAATCACAGATTTTYTTACCTGCACAATAGCTGGTTTCACTACCTATCTGTGCTTTATGCTGAACTTCATTTAGTCAAATAAACTTCACACAGTAAGAAGAAGCAAGCTATTCATTTTTGACAACCTTAAGAATTCAAATTACATTATAGTATGTATATATGAACCAGTTTAGTGAAAAAAAGCTACTCATATAAAGACTCTTTCACTAAGATATTCAATAGCTTCTCACTAGCTAGAAAATTACTTGAGAGAAAAAAGGTTTTGTTCTTGTTACAATGGAAAAAGTAAAGCYATCTGGGAAAAGTAGTCATGTGAAAAGATGGTCTTGGAGATATCAACTAGTAACAGCTAATAAAAAACGATAAAAAAATCTAAAGTATGCATCTCACACTAATACCTCTGATAGACAGCAAAACAACTTCTCTCYATTGTTTTAAGGAAAGATACTCTAAATGGGATTGTAGCTCTCCCATCCAAAAAGCCAATGTAAGGCCTATGAAATGTACCTAAACCTCCAGCCATGCTGCAGCAATAAAGATGTGAAATACAGACAATTTCTGGCTGTCATCTATCAGAGTCAAGACAGCCATTCAGCTTTGAGACACCACTCTACAAAGAGCTTACTGGAGGAGTTTGCTCAAGTGTTTTGAAGTGGTGGTGTTAGCAACATTTAAGAGTGAAGAAGATGAAGATTCCTTATCCTAACAGGTACATTCCACAGGCAAACAGAAGGTGAATGCAGTGCTTGTGGGTGTGTCCCCATTTGATCCCACCCAGTTCAATCGGCAGCTCTCATTTCCACCTGGGTTAGAAGGAACCTGTCTCCCCCACTGCCAGGAGCCTCTGGGCACTGAATCCAAGCACAAACACACAGCCCTAGCACAGCAGGACAGAGTTTCACCGTGCCTGGACCCTGGCTCAGGCTGCTCTCTCACACACCTCWGCTGGACCACTCACAAGCAAACCCAGGGTCCTGCGATTTCAGTTTTGAGGTTTCATACCTTC